TTATAATCTTGACTTAGATTCTCATTACTTAGTAAACTTAACTCTTAAAACATTATTTATTTGGTTGTCTGCATTCATAAAGACATAGTTCACTGACGCTGAAGTTAATTAGTACCGTAGTTCAGTCCCTGTGGGATCGATACTTGGCTTGAATTAAGCCACTTTACTACTTGTTTGACCACGTGCACTTGCATGTAGTCATCACACCACCGAACACTGCTAAAAATAAAAATGTAGCCGAAAGCCTAAGTTTGGGGGTGTGTAAGGAAGAGAAAAAAAAGGAAGAAGCTTCTAGGAGAGGTAGCACCTATTGCTTGAGGAAATGATAAATTTTTAGTTGGAAAAACTCTTGATCAAAAGAAAAAAAGAACAAAAGAGAAAAAGGTTGAATGGTGCTATCTCTTGTGGAGATGAGTCTTAACAAAAAAATTGAAGGTGTCAAAAGGGTGGATATAAAAAAAGATTTGTGTAAGATGAGAAGGAAGAGATAAGGTGAAGTAAACTTGCTAAATGTAGTGGGATGTTTGAATGTGTGCACAAAAGGCATTAGGGAGGTTCTAGTCACTATAGCTAAAATGTTGTCCTACCTTTAACCCCTAGCTTTCACTATGACCCCCATGTGCTTAGTGATTCCAAGTGTACCAACTTTACTTTAGTGGCTAATTACATGATTGGCAAGCCTATGGTTCAATATATATCCACTTGAATATCTTTGAGAGAGTGAGAATCTTTGCATCATTCTATAATCCCTTTGTGTGAATTGCATCTATGTGGATGGGATTCTCTCTTTCGCTGAGTGGCATCACTTCCTTAGAGTAAATGCTGAAATTTTTGTTTTCGATTTAGAGGTATGAATGCGACAAGTTGTATAGTGAACTTTGAGGTAAACCTTGAATGTTGATTGTCAATGACTTTAGATGCTTGTTAACCTTGATTTATTTGACCATGTCCCTATTACGAGTTGAAAGAATAAAAGTGAGATGTGCCAAATTTTTATGGTTACCAATTGAATGTGTGCAACATGTTGTGAGTATTTTTATTCTCTTGAGTCGATGTGTGATTTTGGATTTGTCTTAAGTTTTAGAAGTCCCTTGTGCAACCCTTATGAACAAGATGCTTAATTCAATTCTAAAGTTGTGGGTGAATGCCTTGCTTGAGGACCAATAATGGTTCAAGTTTGGGAGTTTTGATTATTTGGTAATTTAACAGCTAATTGGGCTTTTAAGCATGAGCTATTGTCTTGTTTTTTTAAAAAATTAGGAAGATTTTATGCCTTTTTACTTTGATTGTGAATGTATAGAAATTAGACAATGAAAACAGAAGAATTGAATAAAAAGCACCATGCTGGAAGAAAGGAACATGCATGTCATATATTGGCACTTGCCAAATGCAGGTGACATGCAGTTAGCACTGGATATGGAGCAGGAAAGAATCTGCGAAGCACAAATTGGCAGCTGCGAAATGCAAGTGCAACCACAGGAGGACTTCAAGCAACACTGCTAAGACCTGCAAATATGTCTCGCAGATGGGCACTTGCAAAATGCAGGTGCCTCGCAAGTGACCAATATCCTGACAAGGGGGAAAAATTCCAAATTTGGCACAAAAGTACTTGAGAAGCTTCCAAATGCATATTTGGAAATCTATGCAAAGAAAATGTGCAGATTTTACCCCAAATTGTACACATCCATGTCATAAGACATCAGAGAGAAGCATTGAATTGTAGAGAATAGTGAGAGAAAGAGTAGAGTACATTTTTCTTTTTCTTCTTCTTATTTAATATTTTTAGCTAAGTACATAATTGTTGTGGATTTTGAAAGCTTAATTTAATATTTATGATGATGATTATTGATCATTTACCCATGGGTATAATTTTTCTATCTCCATTAATTAGTAGCTAAATTGCTAGCTAGGGGTGTGTGCGTGAGAAGTGCTTAAACTTGATTAGGTGTTGATAAATTGCTCTTTAATTTAATCTATAAGCATGGATCCATTATTTTCTCTGAATTTTAATTGAAAAATTAATGGTTGCAAACACTAGTTTAGCTTACTTATCTTGCTTTAGCTTGAGAAAGAACAGTGGAATTTGGGCGAGGAAACAATAGGGAGGATTTGGAGTGTAAATGTGTGGGCTTTATCTAGAGATAGTTAAAACTCACATCTCCACTGCATTAAAGGGTTGATTCTAGAGATAACTTGACCGCTCCTCAAGCTTTGTGCATGATTATTTAATTTTGACCTTGGGGTTTGAGAAAATCCAAGGCAAAAATATCCTTATGATTGAAAAACAAGAGGATGTATTTTGATCCATGCTAGAAATTGAAGTTAAGGAAATTGAATCAATCCCAATCTAGTTGGCACTTCATCTATTGCCCATCCCTAGACCTTTCCCATTACTTGCAACAAATCATTTGCTCAATTTCGTTTTATAAATTTGAAGTTGATATTTTTTTCCCTTTCCCCCAATTTTTATTTTACACATGTTAATAATAATGTATTCTAATTTGAGTTAGTTTACAGCTTTAGGAGTATCGTGCTAAATTCCTTATGGCATTCGACCCCGTTTGTTTTTGACAATGAACGCTACCACCTCCCTTAATCTAGAGAGATGTATTGAGCATTATCAAAAAATGACACCGTTGGCGGGGATCGATCCAGGGTCACCCTCATTCCAAGCGGGAATACTTACCACTCTACTACAACGACATAGATCATGAAAGAAGGGAAATTTTCTAAAACGATTCATAGCCTCTTTCTCATAAGTTTGGCATGCTTCACACCCATGAAAATGACTCTACTTAACGCGACTTTTATAAACCAAGACACCCCTAAATCTGATGCTCTGATACCAAGTTTTTCACTACCTGAGCTTGGACCCCAATTGTAACACGGGACCTAGAACCAAGAATGACTCCAAGATAACATATGGCACATGCAAACATAATTGAGAGCATAAACCAAGTGGAAAAATTATAAAGAATAAAATAAGGCCCTGTCCTTCCAGAGCAACCAGAGGTACCACAGGCATTGGAGGGTCTACCACTTTGTCACCCTCATGTACAGCTGGTGCGGGAGGAGCTGGAGGTCTATCTTCCATAGATCTGACTGGGGCTGCAGAAACTGTAGTACCTAAGGTAGGAGACTCACTCTAAGCCTCTGACCTCTCTCCTGATCCCCTGGAGGGCGACTAGTAACTCGTAGTCATCCTCCTTTTCATAGGCATACTCTGAAATAATAACTTGATTTAGATATCATAATACTCATGACTTTCTCTATAGCACAAACTACTAGTGAAAGAAGTGCGACAACTTTTAAATGTCTTGAAACCTCCTAATTATAAGTATGGTGCACAATATATGTCACGACCTGAGTGTATACCCTAGACGAGACACGACCCTTGGAGTCACAAGTAACCCCAAGCCAACTCATGGTCTATCATAACACTGGTAAACTAAGTAAAAAATTAAGTAAAATCATTTAAGAAAAACTATTTTGACAAAGTTCATACATCTTATAAACAATACTGAATATCTGAGTCTATGTATGAAAGCCAACAACTAAATTATAAGTTGCTAGGACAAGCCCCCAGCGAACTCTAATGTCTAATTGAAAGTAACCAACTGAAAATAAATATCTTCCTCGAAAGATGAGGACTCACCAAATGCTGTTGCTGGTATTATTTGAGGGAAACTATCGACGATGCTGGGACTGTGAACCTATGCCTGTATCATGATACAATACAATATAGAAGGTATGCATCAGTACTTTGAATGTACTGAGTAAGTGAGATATATGATAAGCATGAAAGAACAAGTAACTGAATTGAAATGACATGAAATGACCAACTATAATACTGAAAAAATGGTACAACTAAAATACAACTGATATGGTCAATGATAACCTTGGTTGACGGTTACAGACATGTCCTAGATCTGAGATACTGAGCAAAGCTAAACTGAACTGAATTGAACTGAGACTGTACTAACTAGTGGGAGAGTCTATAACCAAAATATAACCATGTGAGCTAAAAATGGAGTTCGATGTATACGCCCCATTGATAGGACCCAATATACCTGGCATGGTATAAAGGAATGAACTGGGTGATCACAAATCTGGTGTCGTTGGGCCAATAAATTACCTATGGTGGCAACATAGTTCTGGGAACATGGGTGCGCTGGAACCCCGATCCACTTAGTGCTAAGTCCTACTCCCACTGGATAGCCCTAATATGACCACTAAGCTAATAGCTCAAAGCTGAGGCCCAAGACTAAGTAAAGGACACTTATTTGGAAGTGCCCTGCGAGTCTTATCAGATCGAATACTATATCTGGTGTTCTAAGACTAGTCAGAGCTTATTATTTAGATGCGTCATAACCGTCTAAAGAATAAACTAATAACTAACAACTAATTATGATAACTGTTATCTGATTCTAATAACTGATATTTGGGAGTCATTACCGACACTTCAAGACAAGAATATAGTCAAACTGATCAGTTGACATTTCTGAAATAACTAGAGATACAAACATTTCGACTGAAACTGGTCTAGCATGCAATTGACTGAAAATTCAACTGATGTTAATAATATGGGAATTCCAACACTAATAGAATCAAGCAACATGAATAACCAATCAATTATGCAAGACTCTAATTACCACATTCAAGAGATAGGGCTAAAACCATCTTTTCAGGAATAAGTATCAACATGATCAATAGGTACTGGAAAAATAGCAACAATTAACATGAACAACATTCTACATGAAATAGATGGAATTTGACTGATAATTTACTCACATTCGAAAACTCAGAGCTTAAAACTGATAATAAAGTTAGATGGATTTTTGGGGCACATGGGAAGGACAATTCTGTTGCTAAATTCCTACCTACTCGGTGAAGGATTCTATAGGAAATCCTTGAGAGATTCTGAGAAGAAGAATTCGAAAACCTTGCCCTTCTCTATGCTTCCTGACTGTGATTCTATGTTCTGACTCTTACGGGAATGAGAGGAATGAGGTGTGAACATCGATTAACCCCCCCACCCCTCAAATCTCCAGAATATAACACAACACGACATAATTTAGGGACTAAAAAAGTGGAAAGTTAAAAAATGCCTCTAAAAGAAAATCTGGAAAACTGCCGGACAGGGACCAACGGATCACACAATGAGTCGTTGGTTGACACCACAACTTTTCAGGAGCAGTCGTCTGTCCTGGTCTTAAACCTAGGGCTTATTGGAACTAGCAATGGATGGGGACCATGACTCGTTGGAAGAATCAACGGGTCGTTGGTACCTCCCGTAGCCACTGGCAGGGTCTTGAACAAAATACGAGGCCCCCTCTTCTAACGGGTGACACCACGACTCATTGGTTGGTACAACGAGTCATTATCTGCTCCTATCCTGGCTATTAGAATTTCCTTTGCTTGGCTCACGAATGGAAACAATAACTCATTGTAAGGGACTCATTGCCACTGGAATAACTATCTTACCTTCTCCCAATGGCTCAACAAGATGGGTGGTTGGTCTCTTCCATGACCCCTTACTAGGAATTAGTTCCGAAGGGACTTCCTGTAGGCCTGACGATGACTCAGACAACGGGTCGTTATAGCTTACCACGACTCATTGTTTGGGTCATTTTGAGAAAAAAATTTTTGGTTCTTCTGGGTTTTTCTTGCAAGGTCTGAGTTGTTCTTGGAAAGTTTTGGGGTGTTACAATATCTCCCCCTTGGGATCATTCATCCTCGAATAAAGGATAAAACTACTGGAAAATTAGGAAAAGAGATGTAATTCCAAGATTGAGACTATGAACTGATTTATGTAGGAATGACTGACTCCAAACTGATTTAACCATGCTAACATAGTTGATACAAGTAGGATGCATATTGAAAATCTGAATAGAGCTGATGGGTACAAAACTAAACAGAGTATTGAGGAGGAATTTAGTACCTGATGCTGAAACTGAACTGGAGGGGAATAAATAGGGATATTTGGCCATCATGTTTGCTTCGGCCTCCCATGTTACTCCGTCAACTAGCTGGTTCCTCCACAAGACTTTCACTGAAGTGATTTTCTTTTTCTCAGCGTACGAACCTAATGGTCTAGGATCTGAACTGGGACCTCTTCATAAGAGAGACTATCTTTCAGTCCCACACAGTCTAATGGCATAACTGAAGTCGGATCACTGATTCACTTCTTCAATAGTGACACATGGAAGACTGGGTGAACAAATGCTAACTCTATAGGTAATTCTAACTCATATGCCGCACTACCATTTCGCCTCAAAATCTTGTAGGACCCTACATACTCGGACTGTGTTTCCCTTTCTTTCCAAACATCATCACCCCTTTCATGGGTGAATTTTTCAGGTAACCCAATCATATACGAAAAATTCTAACTCCCTCCTCCTCACATAAGCATAAGATTTCTATTGGCTTTGAGTTTTTCTCAACCTTTCCCTGATAAGTTGCACTTTCTAGATAGCTTCATGAACTGAGTCTGGCCCTATCAAGGTAGCTCCACCAACATAAAACCACCCTATAGGAGACCTACACCTCCTACCATATAATGCCTCAAACGGGGCCATCTTAATACTGGAGTGGTAGTTGTTGTTGTACGCAAACTCGATGAGAGGCAAGTGATCATCCCAATTGCCCTTGAAACCGATCACACGAGATCTCAACATATCTTCTAAGGTCTGAATAGTCCTCTCAGCTTGTCCATCGGTCTGAGGGTGAAAAGTTGTGCTGAGCTTGTCCTGAGTACCGAATCCTTTCTGAAATGACTTCCAGAAATGCGAGATGAACTGGGTACCTCTATCTGAAATAATGGACAAGGGCAGCCCATGTAGTCTGACTAACTCCCATATATATAGCCTAGAATGATCCTCTGCTGAGTCTATAGTTTTAACTAGGAGGAAATGTGCTGACTTGGTCATCTGATCCATTATCACCCAAATTAAGTCATGCTGCCAGCGAGTATGAGGTAGACCTTTAATAAAGTCCATATTCACTTCTTCCCACTTCCAGGTGGGTATGGTGATATCCTGATTCATACCCCCAAGTCTTTGATATTCCACCTTGACCTGCTGGTGGTTCGGTCACTTCGCCACAAATTCATTATTGTCTCTTTCCATGTCGTTCCACCAGTAGATATCCCGTAGGTCACGGTACATCTTAGTGTCACCTGGGGGGTGGATAGAATATCTGGAACTGTGTGCTTCTTCCAGTATCTATTTTCTCAAGTCACCTACATTTGGTACACATAGTCTGCCCTAGTAATGAAGCACACCATCTCTCCCTTTGGAGAAATCCTCCACTTCTTTTCTGAGAATTGATTCTTTTAGATTAATTAGTATGGGATCTTAATCCTTCTTTGACTTACCTTAAGCAACTAACAAAGAATTTGACCCACTCTGCAGTACTACTCTGCCCTCAGCTAAATCGACCAATTGCACTCATAGCCAAGCTAACCAGTGAATATCCTTTGCCAGTTCCCTTATGCCCTCTTCAATGTGGGCAACGCTCCCTATGTACATCCTGCTTAGGGAATCAGCCACCACATTGGCCTTCCCCGGGTGGTATAGCACGCTCGTGTCATAATCCTTTACTAACTCTAGCCACCTCCCCTGACGAAGGTTCAAATCATTATGACTGAGAAAATACTGAACGCTCTTGTGAACAGTGAAAACATCTACGAGAGCCCCATAAAG